TAATTCATAGTTGTGCTCATATTATTCCTGCCAATAAAATGGATCCAATGAAGGGAACAGACAATTCATCATTGTTTTAATGATTTCATCAATTTCTTTTTATCATATTTCGTGATTCACTCGGGCATGAAATACTGCACTGCATTTCAGTTCAGTCGACGGGGTTAGGCTTGCACTGTATTGAGCGGTTCAGACCGATTATTGACGATTTGGATTGTTCCATGCGTTTGTCTGGAGTGTGCGCTTGTGTGTGCGTGTATGCGCGTGTGTAACCAAGTATGCAAGAGTCATCACATGCAGAGTACGGACCCGGTAGAAAGGATTAGTATCATGAAAAAAATCATTTTACGTGTTACGTAAAAACCTCAGCACTATAAATCATGATGTAAAAGATGTTGTGGTGTACAATGGTCCATGCAAAAATAAGTTCAACAGGCAAGTGTGAGTAAAGATGTGTAGGCTTCTGCGTGGTCGCTTATAATTCTAACTATTTCAATCAACCCCGAGCGAAGGTTTCTTCTTTGTCAGTTCATTCATTCAAATACGAATGGACTGACACGTGATTACCGGATACTTATATCTGATGAACAGTAAGAACCACGAAACCGATCGTGTGTTCAAGGGGAATTTTGTCCAATGACTCATATATCAATTATTTTAAAGTATATGTATACATTAGAAATTAACCAAAGATAACCAATTCATTCAACCAAACAGGAAATTGGATTGGGACTATCCTTTTCCAAAGTATTGTGAAAACAGTGTGTTGCTTCATTGCGGATTATTATGTTATTATTATTAGGCTGTGGGTTATCATAGCTTCTATTGTTCTGAACTGCTTTAGACTTACGATGTTACTCTCGAGAACCCAGTGCTTCGTTTTATTTGATTTTTATTTATTTTATTAGACCTATGTGTATAAATAAACGTTTTAACCTTTTGTTGGACGAGAGGACCTACCTGATGAAGGAGGTACTTACTTCGTTAGCGAACGGAACCTGATATGGACGCAATAATTGACCGCAGTGGCATGCTTGATTGATGGTCCTTCGAATAATTCATACTCCCACGGTTTTGAGACTTGTTGCATTGCTTGTACCAAATCTGGTTACCATTTGATTCTTTCGATCATTTATCACTTTGATTTGGATTCTGGCTTGCGTTCCACTGCATAAAGATGATCTCTTTCTTTATATATTATTCAATATTATCGTTTTTACCTGATTTGTTTACACATATATGCGTAACCTACACTTTGCGCCAAACATTCCCGGTTCAATAATCAGGTTACGTGTACTATTGTAGGGCTAAGGTCGACTACAACCTTGGCATATTTCCCTTCTAAAGTCAAAACAGAAAAGAACTTCAGTACAGACTGAACACGTGTGCACCGGTTTAGAGGAACTGTTCGATTGTCTCACACAATTTTGGTTGACGTCGTGTATACGTTGAATTTTACGAACCGCTCAGTGCGAACGGAGACGTTTGCTTTATTCCTGGACGCACGCACACAAACAGTCTCATGTTCTGCTTGACGCACAGTTAATGTTCCGTTAAACTACCGCAAGGTCATTTTGTTCGGAAAACTTGAAATGAATGCAAATGCGCAACATCGTAGTAACCAACCCACTTTCCGCTCTATGTATTGTTCAAAGAATAAAAGGTAACTGGAGTAAACGATAAGGACAATGCTAAACGTCATCAGATTATCACTAGGATAACCATCCGAAAATTTTAAAGTTGCTCTGACGATTTCTTTCTTTAAAAATGTTTATTCCATTGGTACACTGGCTTGAGTTATCCTTTATCGAACTCAATGTGTTCAGTAGTAATATCAAAATCGGTACTGCTTAAATTGTTAACAATTGCAATACTAGAGATGCTAGTGTTGTACGGTACAACCCACATTTGTGAGTAGTGTGTCGGATTGCACAAAAGAATGTGATTGATGATTTCTCACAAAATCTCCTCGCGCGTGTTGTTGTGTTCAAGATGGTAACCACTGAAAATTCTCATTTACCATCGGATCGCTCCGTTGATTAACTGTGTGCATGTTGGAATTATAATGACCTGTTTCAAATGAGACGGTTTTTTAAATGCATGCCAATTTGTTGATACCCTTACCGTTTTTGGCACTCGAAAACTTTCCCCTTCTCGATACTGCTTCGCGATATATAGCACTAGTAGTAATAAGGATGTATTCAATTCCTGCTATTCAGTCAGCTTTTTAGGCAGTTAGCATTGTAACTGACACGCAACAACCGCGATCGACGGTGGTGGCTTAGTGAGGTGCGTTTGACGGCCACAGCGTGAGAATATACTACCGCTGACTTGTGACTTCGTTCCATTGTATGCATTTCCATAAATACTCAGTTAATTTCGCCAGAAGAAAACCTCCATGTCTGGAACGCCTAATGAAGTTGGATGTAGAATTGATTGTCTCGTTTTTTCCTGGTAACATGATTCCGTTGGTTAGAACGTAGAATGAAGTTTAGGTTTAATGTGTCATTCTACTGTGCACCCGGAAGCATTTAATGATTGCAGACATTACGAACAAAGATTTGGCTGTATGTTTGCTATAGCCTGTATTGCAGAACTGTTTTCCGTGCCTTCGCCTTTCACATTGGTGGAATCGTATGATAAGCCTAATGGAATAGTTGCGGCTTACTGGTCGATGCCACACCACTGTTTTAGAAAGATTTGCTTTCACCCTCTATCACAATTGTTCCCATGTTGAACTCGTGTAATCACTGCTGCGCACATCCGGTACGAAGAATGTTGATTGGGTTCGATACGCCGTTAAACAGACTTATTTGATGTTTCCCATTTTTTGTAGTGTTGTCATGAATTCCGGGACACATGAATGATCATATTTTGATCAAATTGGAATTTCAGTTCTTTCACACACAATTACAGTCTCTGTCTCTCTTTATTTTATGTATTGACCGTTACACTTACACACCGACTACAAAACACATAGCTCTCTTATGAACCTTTCGGTACCTCAAAATTATTGGATACTTTATACATTGCATAAATACACCACAACTCTTAATAGAATATTCATGATATAACAATGTCACACTCTACTACTAATTTGCATCGAAATTTTTGTTTAACCTCTTTTTCCTCCCACTCGACTTATAAAGCAAGTTTATTTGAATATACGAGATGTTCTTTGGTTTATTAAGTAAATAACCACATGTTGAAAAAGGCTATTGGTGGACTTTCTCATGTGGAAGGCCTTAAGACTGGGGAAAAAGCAAAAGCGTCAGTGCACAAACAGTCCACAACAGTGAATGATAAACAAGCGCAGACTTTACGTGCAGTGTGCAGTAATCAAGGGAGTTAAGCAAGAAACGAACTTCTGAATACCACGGTTTTGTCATGAACCAAACCAGTGTGACCTATTTGTGTGTATGGGTTAGCAGTCAGTAGTGGCCAATCAACCGAAAGTGACAAAGACAGTGCAGTCAGGGCTTCCGTCAACCGTCGAGTAACAACAATAATCAATTATATTTTAATTATAATAGGCGGCAAAACCCCCTGATGAATACAACCATCTGTCGTTGAAGAAATTGGAGCGGTGATCGTCAGTTCTGCTCTCTGCGGGTTCTTATTCGTTGTTGTTCTAATGCCAAATTGTTGAACAGTTCCAATTTGCTACGGGAAATCTTTTGTTGGCTGTCGACTAGTGCTATGTTATTTTTCATGAGCAATAAACGTAAAACAAGAATCAACAGTATATTTGAATCATGACTGTATGCAAATAAAGTCAACATTTTTATGCTCGGTTTTAAACCCGATCAGTAGACTGGCTGCCTAAAGTTTTCATAGTTATTCCTCGCCCCCCACACACACCATTATGTAACCCCTTTCGATCTCATCCGTGTTTTTCTTGGTAGAGCTGTGCCGAATCTTGTGGAGCAATTCGTACCAAAGCGATGCATTATGTGAATGAATTTGCCTTGGATGGATTGCGTACACTGGTCTATGGGACAAGACAAGTCGATCGGGCTGAATACGACCGATTACTCACGGAGTTGCGTCGTACACGGGGTCTGGTGGGTGAACAGCGTTTGCGTGCCATGCGTGAAGTGTATCAGGCGATAGAATCTAACCTGGTACCGTGTGCAGTGACCGGTGTTGAAGATAAATTACAAGTGGGCGTCAGAGAGTGCCTACAAAGTTTGCGTGAATCTGGGATTCAGGTGAGTTTCCACAGGTACCGTGGATTTATTCAGGAACTTTTGATAACTCCAATTGTTGTATATGTTTGTGAAGCAGTCCTGTTAAACAATTGCAGTATAACAAAGTAAACAAAAACATCCTCGTTGTAATTTTTGTAAATGAAAAGATGACATGAACTCGATCATCCGGATCGGTGATGGCCCGCTGGTAACGTCACCAAATTATCACCTCAGGAGTGTGTTCGAATCCCACCACCACCGCCTGACTTTCCCCGATTGTGTGTTGAATGGCAGCCCTTTGATTGTCCGCTTCCCCCTTCCTGAAAATTGTATCTTGGCATATTCAATAAATGAAAGTAAATTAAAAGAAAAAAGGGTTTCACGCGAAACGAAATGCGCTCAATGGACGAAAACAATGTAAAACATAATCCAGAACAATATTTGAACGACAATCAAAGGGAACACACTTTTTATTGTGAGGCATTCAGGGTTGCTAGCGATCACTGCCATTGACGTTTGGGTTCCAAGTTCAAACCCATTTCTATGGTATTGTTCGAAACCTATTCCAGCAGAAGCGAAATTCCGATTGGTTAGAATCTAATGGAAGAAGTTGTTTTTGAAAATGTCCTCTTACTGGCTTTATCCTAGTGTGCACTGCTGAAGCGATCGAAGTCAGATTGCTTAACACCCCACTATGCAACCAGAAGCGTTTCTCCGTTTATTTTCTCCACCGCTGACAGTTGCTAAGCGACAAACTGATTCGAGCGAGTTAACTGGAAGAAAGTGAAGACTAAGAGAGAGCTCAATCAAAATACGGACGCTAAGAGGATCGCTTTGTATATATAGTAATCAGATCTGCCTCGCATTAGAAAAAACAATGTTGAATGCTTTTCGTATATGATTGTAAGCGGACAGTTGATGAAGTATCGAAAAACAACTTTATTTCGTCCATTAAATTTAACTTTCAATGACTTTATAATGCAACAAGGTGACAGTTTATTTTGGTACTGCTACTTATGCCACTTCTGATTCGAAGTCTTCGTCAACAAAAAATGATAAAATAAGCGGATACTGATTATTTATTCCACAGTGTATAGAGAAACTCCGGAATTAAAGAAGTGACAAACAAACAAATCCCTGGAACACTAAATCGGAGATTCAAGCTTTGTTCGAATACACTTAGCACTACTGGTGGCATCCTGATTCAGCTACCAGGTCGTAGGTTTGGCAAAGGAGTAGGTGTCGTCCATACATTGGTTAGTAAACTGTTCACGATTGCGTTTTATGAAAAACTTTTAAAGTTTGTGGACCAATAAAACTTGAACAATAATGAACTTTTCCTGAAATAGCAGATGAAAATTAGTAAAATGCATTCACATGTAAATCGACCGGCTCAGATATAAATCGGATCGTACACACACTTTCGGATCCACAGTTAAATTATTAGCATCATCTGTATTGTAGCGAACGGAACGGTCGCACAACTCATGTGACATGGTGTGTTGGGTTAGCGGTACATTTGTCTGAACAGCGATCGTGGGGCACGTGTACTGGGTAAATACACGATCAGCAGACCTGAACACCAGCGAGGTATCAGCGTTACCATGGTTCGGGTTTTGAACACCGTCATCAGGGTACCCGCAGTTACTTTGACTGTACGCCATTAATATACTTCGGGGACAATAAAGGTAGTTAAATATAATCCCTACTACACTGTGTTTTCGCGGTGCTAGCGATGACGTGATTCGGTTGTACGTTATAAATACGATACTATACGGTAAGCACCGAACAATACATATATAAAACCAGTAACCCAAATTGTATAAAGTCTATTTAATATTCACTATCCTACACTTAATCCAACCCGAGAAATTCACAATTACAAAAGAACTTCAAAAGGATTTGTAAGGTAGAATTACACTATTATGTGTTTTCATGCAAAGAAAGGATGTGTTATTGTTGCGCAACAAAATGAACAGAGTTTATCCAATGTGGATGAAGTCCTGTTCAGTTTGGATTATTCAATCTCGTCGCAGTTCAGATTAAATTCGAAGCTCATCAACAAAATATATGAATACTTCTCAAAGATACTTCGTAGCATTTGATCTCATTTTTTACTGTATCACAGCGAGTGACAGTACATAAACAAGAAAATATAACAGTTTTTCAACGTTTACCGTTTACCTTGGATCGATTATTGTCAATCTGTTGTGACCTCAAAATACCACCCACGAAAGATGGATCATGGTATCCGTACAATTGGATGAAACAATGTATCGATGACACGTTGAAAACCTCCCCACCCCACACAAGTGGGAGAAGACAGTTTTATATAAAAAGGTTTCACACAACTGCTGATTGTCAACACCACACACAAGGGTTGTGACGGCGACTAGCATGAATAAATTCGCATTCCAATCGAAGGTGAAAAAAACAGTGATGGGAACATCGTTCACGAAGTAAATGCCCAAAAGACCTCTGTTAACAAACGATATTTTGAATGACGTCTTCATGAAATTCATAGAACAATTACTTTAGTCCACACTCATTCCCAATGCAGTTGAGGGGTATTCGTAGGGGAAGGCGTAAACAGTTATATCCGTTTTCGATTAAGAATGCACACTAAGACCAATGTCGAAGAACAGCACCACCACTGATAAAGATTTGTCTGATCGACTGCTGAAGAAAGGCACACCTCGAGTAGGCACCGCATTGGTGTTAATGGTGAGGAATGAGGCAGGTTAATATCCTGTGGAGCGATGAAGCGAAATTTCACTGTTATGGTTTTGGAACTCTCTTCTCTAACATTCATGGTTCAGTCGATGGAATGTAGCCAGCTTATTCCACCAGATCAACTAATTCCATAAACCGTGATAAAGCCTTCGCCAGCTTGCGGTACACTCGTTCCGTTTGTGTAATACTGTCCCTTCAATCCTCGAAGTATCATGATTGCAATCATCAGTTGTGAGTCAACTCCAGTTTCGCAGCTACACACGATAATAATTAATTTAATCCTACGGCAGTGACACTAAAGCGTCGACCACTCGAGTAGCACCTTTTGATGGTGCTCTATCATCCAAAGAATAATTACCGCCCTTCGCGTATTCAAAAATCACAGGTTGACCGTTAGGTGAGGATACGGTTTACGAAGGTAGCTGGGTCGAGGTGAGCACCGTTTACGTAAATCAGGCCGAATAATAGCACTGCATTCAATGTATGGAATTGTGAGCACGCTATAGGCAGTTAAACGTGTTCTTGGCCAGATTCTCATCATTTTACCAGCAATGCAATCCCCTGATGTCTTTGAATTCACTTGTCAAACAAACATTTGGTTTGCGTTATAGTGCTCTCAAAGCGGTAGCTGCCGAATGATGAGCTCAGGATCCAATGTTTCGATTACTAACTGGAAGGATTTTGGCTCGGGGGCCCTTCCGGGGCCCTAAAATAGCATAATATATTATTCCAACGGGGAGAAAGCATCTATGAAGCATTAGGAAGAAAAATTTGACCATGAAATCATATCTACTACGAGGTATTCTGTTTCAATTTTACACCATTTTGTGTAACCAAGACATATGATCATCTCTGATTCGGTTTAAGTGAGCCCGACGTAGTACCAGTACTATAAATCTTGAAGATCAAAATGCCTGCCAAACGTTGCAACCGGGTGTGTAATCATCCAGACTCCTCGGAACGTGCACGAACCTTTTGCTCTNGGAATAAATAAATGTCAGGGTTATTCAGTTCTCGTACTAGGATAAAGTCATGAGTCAAGCTATGTTATTTCGATATCGAAATAACATAGCTTGACTCATGACTTTATCCTAGTACGAGAACTGAATAACCCTGACATTTATTTATTCCCGTAGTGAACTCCTGTGAAGGATGAATATATCTGCTCGTACTCGGATGGGCTATTTGTGTTTGTGAACGCACCGGAAAGAGAGATAGCCTTCTTTACGGGTAGCTACCAGTAGAGGCACACAATGGGTAATATGCTACCAACTGATTCGGAAAAATGCTTTAAAATTAAGGAAGACAGAAATCCTAAACCTACTTTAAAAAACAAGTAGGAGATGTCACGTTGTGTGATCAAATGGGCTACGTTCTTTTTAGTTTAATGGAGATCTTGTTCATTCAACATATCAATCAGCCCACGGGAAACTGTTTCCTCCATCAACACCGCAATATCCACCGTACCTGCCGGGATTAGAATCCGGGGTCTATCTTCGCAAAGTTCCCAAATCCCAATGCTGCATACCAGGAATCAAATGCCCTGTGACACCACCCTGGCACATTTCAGCCATTTTCCACAGGAAGCCGTCCTTTGACTTGTTCGTCGTACAAATTATGAATGAGTAAGAATAAACCAAGTAGGAAGCAATGACCAATAAAACAGAGACTTCAATGAGAACTTATCATCGGCCCATTCATTGTTTGCAACAGGCTTGAACTGTCACAGAAGGGCAGTGGTGGACTAGCTGGACAAGCCCCACTCAGTCAGGCTAAATAGTTGTAAATTGAATGTTAGACTCAATTTAGTTTGCACCCAGCATTCCTTTTACTGATTGTGTAACAAGTATTTTATGAAAAAACTTATTCCTTACATACTTTTATTTTACTGTCAGTTAACTATAGTAAACTTTGTTCTGTGCCGAAATCGTAAACATCATTGATACAACATGCTACACTTTTTCGAGAGTCAGCGTTTTCAATTATCACATGGACAATTTAAAGTTAAATTCTTCGATTGATCTGGTAGAGTGTATGATCAAATAAAAAGATAAAACTGCAATCCTTTTGAAGCGTTCGAAACAATCGGGCATATGTGCATTGTTTGCCGATTGAAAGTAATGACTTACCAAATAATGAATTACCTGTCCGTGTTGTTCGACTATTCATGTATCACACAATGAACATGGCTTCCTATTTTATGGAGTTATTTTCAAGTTTTAAACGAGTGACAATCCCAGAAATCCCGCTTAGAGTACAAAATACGCAAGTAAACATTTTGTGCGCCATTATTGTAAGTTGGGGCAATTCAGATCATTTTTAATTGAATAATGCAACAGTACTAATTTTATCCACTCCAACTACGCATTCAAAGCACACTTTAACTGTTATTCATGTATGACTAGATTTGGATTTTAACTGGAGATAAAGAAGAGACTGCGGTTACTGTCAGTCAGTCAGCCGGACATTTCACTCCACAAATGAGTTTGATCAGGCTGACCAATTGTCCAGATTTCCATACAGCGGCCTGTTGGTTGTTCGAACAAATTGAAGGTTTACAGACGAGATTCGACCTGCGTCTCACTCGTCGTACGCATACTCAAACCACCCTGGTTCCGCAGTCCACTTCTCGCCGCTCACTGATCACACCCTCCATCGAGGAAGTGGGTGAAGTGGTCTTGGCTGCGGCGGAATGCGAGGAGAATGCAACTGGTTCCGAGGACAAAGGTTCAGAAACCAAACGACGTCGTTTGACTCGTCGTCTGTTGAGTTTTGTTCGCGGAGGCACGTGGAAAAAGTTGCGTCTGCCTCGGCGCCGACATACTCATCGACCTGGTCTTGCTGGCGAACCGATTGGTTTAGTCATTGACGGAAAAACATTGAACTGTGTGCTACATGTGAGTTTTACCATGTAGTTTCCAGTTTTAGTGATAGTTTTGTCAGAAGCAATATTACACTGTCTTGTGCATCCTCTAAGTCGACCAAAAAATGACCCCAATCAAACCGTTGGAGATATTTTCACTACGATTTTCATTTGATTTAACCAGCTTTCATAAAGTCTAATTGCTTTTTAAGCCTCTGTGATGTCTTTTACAGATACAAGTATGTGATGGTTTACACTGTATTTTATTTGTTTTATATTTGGTGACTGAATCAATGAAGGCTGCACCAATTTTACAATAAAATATTAAGCTTTTGTCTTTTTTCAATTTTTTGGTGTAGGAGATCAGATAAGCCAAAAATAATTCATTTGCAAACTATCTGAGAGAAACCATAGTGAAAATATTCAGTGTAGTTCGGCCGGATCTGAAGGCCATGCACTCGATTTCACATCACCTTAAAAATAAGTCTCGTGTTCGCTGTTCTGCGCTGAATAAGCTCGCCTCACTAACACAACCTCATTGTGGTATTCCCCCGATCACAGCTCATCGAACTGCCTGGTTCGATCGATCTGCGGTGAACAGTGGAGAATATCGGTAAAGTCATGAAGAGCGGAGCACTAATTATTCACATGTCTTATTGTTTAAGTGTAGCAAATGCTGACTCATGGACATGAAGTAGTAGGCGAAAGACTGGACAAAATTTCCCTAGAAGCACACAACCGGTCTTGCGGTGATTGCCGCCTATCGAGTATGCGTATCTGTTAATCTCGCGTCTGGTTATTCAAATACTTAAACCTCGGTGGCACATTTTTATCCCAAATCTCCATTCTGCGACACGGGACGTTGTTCTCACAGGCCGGCTGTTCTTCAGCAGCAATGATTTGATGGTGTGCTTTGCAAGTGAGATGCTACTATCCGAAGAAACAAACAAAATTCAACATGTACATACTGCCATATTTCGAAAGAATGGATATTTTTTATAGCACCACGTTACCTAATCAGTTATCTANTTCTGTTGTCGATACTTTGCATCGATATGGATTACGAGAAATCAAGATGAGTGGGCCACAAAACTGAAGAATTCACTTGAGGCGAGAAAATAAGAAAATCACACAAACTGTTGATGCCTATTTTTTCTCCACAATATGTTGTACTAGTTCCGCTAGAAGCTGGTTTGAGTTGCTGAATGGTTAGTTGTTGTAGAGCTTGTGTCTTCAAAATGTTTTTTGCAGAACTGAAGAGGAGTTTCAATATCCATGATAATGGTCAGAATCGAATAGCGCTAATTTGAACTCAGATAGAAGTCTATTCAGAAAATCATGCAACTAGATATCACAAGCGTCAAATGATCATTGACCCATTCTTTGATACTGACAACAATATGGCCCACTTGGTTGCTTTTTTGCATCCATCTAATCCGTTTGATTCTACTTGAGACCAAAAGATAGGTCAGAAACTCCGCTTCCCGAGTGGCTAGCTTGAAGCTGTATCGTAATGCTTGCTTACTCGTCGTTTGCTCACCACAAAAGTAATGTGTGAGTAGATATTTGGTGGCAGACATAAGATAGGTAAATTTGATCTATCCACAATCTCACTATGCTCCTCTGTTTTTCACGTATCACGTGATGTATAGCATCCTGCGTCACTACCAATACTCGTTCAAGCCTAATACAATCAAGCAACTTCATTTCCGTTTGGTCAGCTGCATGTTTGCAATCCATGCAGTAGGCTAAACCAGCTTTGCCGAATGCACTCTTACATAAATTTGGTCGATTTGAGTTTCCAAATCAATCAAATTTGCTCGGTTTTCGTTTGCTCCATCCCCACAGTCTACTGAGTAAACAAACTAGCCAACCAATCCATCGATTCCCTGTTTATTTTATTGACGTCATCCGGCATAAATGTATTCTGTTTACAACCTGATCTCCAGGTCTCAGAAATTGCCAGTGTTGACACCGAATGATCAGAGGGAAGCAACAAGTAGGTTAACCTATTATCTCAAAACCTGCGGAGTATCTACCTCAGATAGATAGATAAGCTTAAAACCGAATCTACCCCATTTGATCCGATGGTGCTCTTCGACTCCGGATTATAAGCATTTCATGCTCGCGCGCACAAACACAGAGAGACACGCACACATGGCGCTGACGCACACCGTGATTGATTAGGTAATGATACGAGAAATGGATTCGTACGACAAATCTTACGAAACGATTCTTTTTTGGTTTCAATCAAGAAATACTTCGACAAACGCTTTTGGTAATTTATCAGCTAAATTGCCGTCTGTACTATGCGTCACATCTCGCCATTCACGCCGTGTGCTTAGATTTTTCAAGTGATTGATATGGTTCGAGGTTATCGTGTGAGCACACTATTTGATAACAGACGCAAAGGTAATGTTTATGCAGTGATATTTACTTCTATCATCTGTTTTCTCTATGAGAGGTATTTGGAGAATTCTCTGTAGAACAGACATCCTGGAAAACTGAAAAATGTAACTAAAGTATTGATCACAGATCCGCCCTTATCAATGTCGGACTTTTATAATGTAATGTTTAGCACCGGTTGTGTCAAGTTCGTTTATCAGCATGAAATTTCATATCGCATTGGCATGACCTTAACTCGATTACAACTATCTCATTTGTGCATCCGAAGGGATGCTATTTAAAAGTACTTTATTCCAGTAGACTACCCATTCATTGTTTCCATGATTATCCGATAATTTTAAGGGTTGGATATTACGAACTTTCGCAAGATAGACACAAAAGTTTATTCATGATGCGCTTATAAATATTAGTATCTGAATAATGGATTACTGCTTCTCTACACTGTTAGCAGGGTGAGTATCCATCGGGCAAGAACTTATTTGTATCGTGTTTAAAGCTATAAACCCCTGAAAAGTTCATCAAAAGCGGCTGTTCATTTCACGAAGAAATACTGTATGATTAAATGAGAGCAGAAGAATCGAGCTAACTAACCTGATGAGTGGAAAGAATTGTGTAATTCATTGTGTACTTCNTCCAGCTAAACTAGCCACAGCCATTTTAATGCTACTCATTTTAGACGATGACCTTTGAAGTTATTCTAGCATTAGACATTATTCATATGCATGGATAATGAACTCTGACTTTTTCTGCCTGAATACCATAACTAATAGTAGATTTGTAGACTATATAAATCATATCTGTATTGAATATCTCACTCAAATGAAATATAACCTCAGTTATTCTGTACTGCTTCGAATCAAGTGTCATTCTTTATTAAAAACTACAAAATGCATGTCGGCCAAAAGGTGCAGTTTATCCTCTCTTTCTTGGTCCAGCCTGTGACTTCACTTTCAAAAAACTATCACTGCTTTTCCATATCCATTCCACCCACTACAGCCCACCTTGCGTGATGCCTTTTTGGATCTGTGCATGAACGTGACCACCGTGTTGTGCTGTCGAATGACTCCGCTCCAGAAAGCCTCCATTGTTCAACTCGTTCAAGCCGGACTGGCACGCAGTTCTAGCGGTGAAGGAAGCACACCGGTGACAGCCGCGGTCGGGGATGGGGGAAACGATGTAGCCATGCTGTTGCAGGCTAATATCGGAGTGGGACTATATGGGAAGGAGGGTCGAGAAGCTGCCAGAGCCGGGGACTATAGCTTACCCGGATTCAGGTCAGTGAGAATTTGCTCTCTTTGACCATACCTTTTTCAATTTATGATGTCCGAATATCAATTAAGGATGTCGCAATATCAATTTAAGATGTCATGTTGCTTTGTGGATAGTTCTGTAGTGCGATTGCTCCATCGTTTCACATTGTATTGTACTATTTTTGATGACCTGGTTTTCACGTATAGTCCATCCGTATGGTGAAGGCACGCCTGCTGCAAAGTCGAAGTTCACTGGGCCTGCTAAAGTCTCGCGGTTATGGACAAGGTGTGGTTTCTCACTCGGGTTAGCTGGGCAAGCACCAGGTCCCTTGTTGCGGCTGTACTATCCGACCGATCGATAAATGAGCCCGATCGATCGTGTGATTTTCGGGCCGGCACAGGACGGGTTGTGAATCCGATGCCGCTTAAGTGTTGGTAGAGAATCACCACATGAGAATCAGTTTTGGAATGATGCGCCGTGGGAATTTTGGAACGGAAAACGTTCAAGCGATGATGACGCTGGGTGAACGTTTGACTCGTCTAAGATACACGCACTTCTTTGCTAAGCGGGTTCGGTAAACGGATACTCACAATAAAACTTGGAAATTGTCTCAAGTACAGACTACAATATCCACTAATGTAGGCCAACGCAAAACTGTTGTTGGAATTTTACCAACTGGCTTTTTTGCGTTGAGCGATCTTGGTAACTACGTCGGAGGTAGAAGTTTTTCAGTATGTTTTCCAGTGTGCTGTCTGTATAGCAAAATACGGCGAAGATAGTTTTCTTCCAACATGACGGAGCACTGCCACATACTGCTCTGGTGGTGAGACGTTTCCTCCATTCAGAATTTAACTGCAGACGTAATGTCCGAGGAGGACTAAAGGAATGGCCTCCAGGATCACCTGATCTGTCTCGCTTGGTTTTCTTTCTGTGGGAATATCTATAAAAAAACGTTTTTTCCCGAACACCGAGAACGATCAAGGAGCTAAACCAGAGTATCGTCGCGCAGTGAGAAATTGCTACTATTCTTAAGGTGTCGTAAGCTCCAAGTTGGCTTCGGCATCTGGTATAAAAGGATCGTAATATTGAAGTAAACATCTCAGACTCACCCTATTATAGAAGGGCAGCACTAGATGATCGAGCGGTAGAGTGAACTGAAGGCTGTCTCCAGATTGAGGAAATGATGGGTCTAAAAGAGAATGTTTAGAATTTGAAGAAGAGCGAAAATGCGGTCTATATAACGTTGATCAGGTTTTAAAACCAATCAGATTCTCACGCACTGTTTGCTTACGGCGGACAATCGGCGGGATGCAATGCCAGCGAAAAGTTTAGTGACGATGTTGACCAAACTAATTTCCCCGTGGTTTTCACAAGAGAACCTTTCACCTG